CGACGAAAACGTGCGGTGCAGAGAAATAAAAATTCATTTCTTACTTTACACCGATAGTGCTTTAGTATGCGACAGAAGTCTTTCACCTGGTAGTACTGAATGAAGCCGTGACTTGACCTGCTTAAATGATCCCCTAGGTTACTAGAAGCAATGGGGCGATCCAGTAGTGCAGTACTACCCGGTGTAGCATTTTTTCTGTCTTACTGTACCGCAGCATCGGTGTAAAGTAACAAATGAATTTTTCTTTCTTTAAAAAAACGTACGTTTGAAACGTCTCAATTCGGTACCGATATATTTTAAGTACTTCATTGAACCAGACAAGAAACGAGTAGCAAAATGTGTACCTAATTTTCATGGCGCATCATTTAATTAAGCATGCAATAGAATGATCGAAACGAAGCCTATCGCATCCCGTGTGATAGAACACGTGGTATACAATATTGAGCCAACAAAGTAGAAAATGCACGAGAACCGGTCGATTACTCAGATGGAAATAGTTGTTCATATCTATTGAAATGGCGATCGCTGAACTGCATACTTCAGCCTTAACTCCGTCGCATGCTGAGGTTTAAATGATAGGATCTTGTAGGGACATGATAGAAGCAAATTTGCATTCGAAGAGAAGTTGTTACTTTTACGATGCATTATTTCGGTGCCTTATAGCAAAAGCGCTGCAGGCTGCGAATACAACGGTAATCACGAATCAGAGACGGAAGGCTCATGTTAACGGCTCAGGGCGGTGATCACTCAAACACAATGCAAATTATTTTTTTATGATAAACCACTCGACATTATGGCGCATCAGCCGTTCTTCAGTATAACGTGATTAATGTTCAGGAGATAGTTATGCTTTGAACCAAATGAGTTGCTAAGCCGTCAGGTCTTCAGCTGATGAACTAATAATTTTCGTTGCGCATAATAAAACTGTTTGTGCTTTTCGCGCTTTACGGCGAAACTCTGTTTTTCACGCTTTTTAAAATATGAACAAAATAGCGCGAATCAGGAATCAATTGTTTTGAAAACGCCCACTCAAGGTATTTCAAAAAGTGACAAGCTAGACAAAGTTTAGCGATCGTATTTGATCGCGATCCATCTTCACCGAACACAATTTAAACGATATCGCTGAATACTATATAAGAAAAATCTTGAAACTTAGGTACAGATGACCAAATAATAATATAGTACAATACTAATAAATACAATATTTAAGCACAGACTTACGTGATTCCATTACTGACTTTTTCGTACCAACTTCTTTGTTGTCCCATTTCGGACTGATAACAAGTTTCCGTTATATAGTTCGAACTACCGCTGTCAACCGAGATAACTTATGCATATGTTAAGTGACAGCAATAATTATAAACTTTAATAAAGCAATGTTAAACGCTGCAACGACGCTACGAAAAGATTCAGATCTGGAAGCACATGATGTCATATGGTAAAACACGGATTGACCACACAAAAGTCCGATGAACGAGCCACGAGAAGCATGCCGGTCGACATACGGCTTTTCGTCGTAGAGGGAAGATTTCACAAGCGAACGATTGGTTGATCAACAACAACTTTCATAATTGATTAACTAACGCAAAATTGCAACTTCGTCAGGGAATCGTTCGATCTACCGGCATTCATCGTTCGGTTCGTTAGGCTGTCCGGCAGTGTGGTCAGAATAATCGGTGGATAAACATCGTTATCCGCTGGGCACCGGGTACGAATACGCAGTGCGATGGATCTGTGGCCATCGACCGCCAATGAGATGTGAGAACGCCTGATTGCCAGCAACCGAGGTTGTTCGTCGATGTTCTACGACTTGGACGCATCTTCGTCTCTACAGCTTTGCAAAAAGGTACAAAACGACTTGCGTTCCTTCTGTAAAGTACTTCGCAGTGAATCGATACACTTGAACAAATCGTCCGTCGGAACCTTGTCCGGCAGATGAGTGAGAAAATGAACGATTCGGTCGAAATCCAACGTCAGCAAAGAGTCTTTGTACAGAGTCAGTATTCCTGAGAAAAATTGAAATAATAAAAATTTTAAAAACGCACTCATACAACTGGCATGATATAGAAATTAGGTCATAACGATAAAGAAGCCACAGATATTATAAAATAAAGGAATATAAAAAAGCACTAAAATATACTACACGCTGGTAATCATAGGTGACATCACAGCCCCACGGTTTTAACTCGCTCCATGAAGAAAGACACGGCGAGATAGAATGAAGGATCACTGGCGTGCTTTTGTACAAAAACAAAAACTCAAAATAAAATACTAATTTTTGCATGGCAACGAGGAAGCAGTCGCCTGTCAATGTACGCGGGATTTGCACCACAAGACAAAAGAAAAGGAAGATAAATAATTTACGTCGTCTTTCACCACAGACAGAAATACTAAACCAAGAGAGACAAGAAACGTTCTAAAATATCTAGATCCGAAATAAAATCTTAACTGTATGATATATTATATCATACGTAAAAATATCAGTTCGTTTTTCACTTGAGAAGAACGACAAATGAATGATGATTATGGCCCTGGCAATTACGTTATAAGTCTCATCATCATGATCATTACCGAGAAGGCGACTATGAGAATAAAACGAAGTTGACAGGAACATTTTAATGTTTAAACGATAGGGTATAACGAACATCGCTTCTGAAATATCGTTCTGATGACTATGAAATTCCTTTAGTAAAACAATGATGCAAGGGTAGTCTCAGCTTAAAACATTATATTGTTGTGTACGCTTAAATGCCTCGTCCAAGCAACTACGAGCAGTGGGGCTGTGTAATACGAAGTGAGCTCTGGTACTGAAGGACCCATTAATACAATGGTAATGATCAACTTGATGATGACGCCGACGCTGGTAATCTACGAAACGGTTGTATAATCGAGAAGATTACAACAATAAGGTTGTGATTTTGGAGGAATTACGCGTTATCAGAGATACTGAGAAATACGAACACAGTTTATGTTTATGCTGCAGCATATGAGGAGTACCAGTCGTGATACTGAAAAACAACTAATGCGAGACGCATATGGTACTGCAGGTGCCCAAATATCATGGGGCCGTAATCTGCATAATAACTCAGGCGGCCAGGAGCAACCATTGCACCATATGTAGTGAAAATTGGTCTTGGAGCAGTTATGCGTCATATCACAATCATAAGCAATGAAAGTAAACGAAAATCAAACCTAAAGCGGTCAGAAATAATAATTCGTCGCCGTCACGCAAAAACACGTCCCATATCCGGCAGGTGATTTCCAATGGAAGCGATTTTGCATAGATGGTGTAAAGCCTAAAACGAAACGTCGGTTAGGTGGAACGAATGCATGAAAGATCGTGATATCGTCGAAAAGAAAAGCGGTTACCGGAAGTAGGAAGAAGCAGCATTGTAAATAGTAACTTAATTAGCGAAAAACGATTTATTGGCACACTTAAATGAAACCCAGACCCTTGATATTCAAGAAAAAATTGTTAGACAGCTGAAACATGCAACAAAATGGTGAAAATATGAGGCACCAGAAATGTGTCCTTGAATCACTCTTTAAACTGAGACAATTTATAAAAACGAGGCCAAAATACAACTTGGTGCTTTTGTGCTCACCAGTCGATCAAGTACAAATTCGGCCTGATGTCCAGGGACAGAAAATGCTGGTACAGATCAGGCGACAGCGACTGGAGACAGCGCTCGAAAGCGGAGAAATAGATGTTCATGTCCTCCTGCTTCACCTGGAAAAACGCAATCAGGCACGGATGATTCATCAGGTTGCCGAAAGCCGTAAACGCATCAAACAGGTCGAGATTAAGTAGGAGTACGGCAGCCACGAACGACATGCCTTGAACCTAAAAACGCGAGTCAAATTTGGTATCACAGACGTAAAACATGACGCAAAACAACTTACGTATCCGACATCCGGACGGTAGCACACGTAGGCACCGAGAAGGGTCAGCAGAGCATCGTAGTAGGGGCCGCCTTGCTGGAAAATGCCCAGACTGGGAAACGTTCGCGAAAGGTCCAGGTGAATCACCTCAACGCTGTTCTCCCGGTTTACGGCGTCGTTTTCGCAGTCAGCGCTTACAGGTTTGTTCGTCATCGCCTTGTCCGCCGATTCTTTTTCCGCCTTCTTCAATCTCTCCTGAGCCCGCGAAACACAGATTTGAAAAAGCTCTAAACACATACATTGTGAATTTAACCTATAGCATATTAGTGTCATAAAAGTCATAAAAGTATATCTGAAATTTGAACTATGTTCTTTCACATAAAAGAGTAAGTGCATGTCTTTCATGCTTCTTACAGTATGTATTATATTATCGACTTTCCGAGTTACAGCTGAGTCGTTGTTAAAGTACAATGCAAAAACGAATCGCGCAAAAGTTAGACAGTTTCGAATCCTACATCACAGGACAGGTAGCTGAGTCGTATAAACTGATCAACCCTATACCTTGGGCCCCGTTCACGCCATTAGAGGTCTAAATGCAAAGGGCTTACGTTATTCCAGAACATGAAGTTCATTTCAGTACAACTTCTGCTGAGTTCCCAATCTATGTCGTACTTTTTATATGACACAACGCTGCACCGTGACGAAGCCATTTTCCTATATCGTAAATCATAAGGAAATGCGATAGTATGCTTTTCGAAGAAGTGAGGTTAAGTGTACTGTATAACATGAATTGCCAGCATCGACGGGAAACATCGATATAAATGTCCCATATAAAAGGCGTCACTGTATTATTTATTTCCTTACAGAGCATGCAGCCTCAAGCCTAATCAAACTGAATTGACAGAGACGTAGGCTGAATGAATGATAGGCAGAGAGACTGGCTGAGTGACTGACTGAATGATCACGTCAACGCGTTTATAACAAAACGGTGAATGACGCCGTCTGATAACCACTTCAGAACGTCAGCCGAAGAGTGCAAAAACGTACGAGGAACTTCAGATGGCTAGCGTCATCATTCAAGTAGACAGGACTCAAACCAGGGAAAAGAGTTGCTTGTTACTCTTAAAAATTGCTGCAAAAAAGGTTCTCGCAAAACATTCGCACTGCACAAAAACGAAACGCATATCATCATCACCTTTCGTAATGTTCAGTTCGTTGCCGATGGCCAGCATCCAAACCTTACCACGAACGCACGGAGGCAAACCGTTGCCCCAAAGCTCCCTGACTTTCTTGGTCGACTTTCTAAGGACGAAACACGTGGTAAGTATGATAACAGTAATAACATAAAAACGCATCACAAAACAAATCAGGGTACGAAGGCCGAGATCAGGCCTTCTAAAGCACTCTGTTTGCAAACTGCACTTTGGCAATGAGGTTCGTAATGAACCGCGATGACACGGTGTTTATGAGGTTCGCCTCGAACTTCGAAGGTGGCGGGTTCGATTCCGCTTGAAGGTAACATTTGTCATTTTCATGAATTCCTCTGAGCAAGGAATATACCACATATTGCTTCAGACCGGGGTTGCTCATTCTGCTGAGCGTCGAACTCAGAACCAGAACAGGTTTCGAGTTCAAACTTAGGTAAGGTCACTCGCTCTTCTTTTTTCCGAGGTTGATAAATGGGTAACATTCTGTGGGAAGGAAAGAGGAGACTATACGCCACTCTTGTCACATGGCTGTAGTAACTGCCTTTAAAAAAATAAGGCATTCCTTGCTGATGGCATAGAAAAAACGGAGATCAGTACCGTACCATCAGCTTAATGAAAAGAAGGGCGATAAAGGGGATCAGTCATAAAAGTGAAGGCAGATCGACATTCCAGTAGTGACTAATTTTTCTCTCCTTCTACTTCGTCTGTAGCGTGGAAACGACTTTACTAGTCTCGTCCGAAATGCTGTCTTGAATGATGAATCGAAAATAACTTATACAAATCATTAATTACTATAGGCGCTAGGGATTCGATTATTCGAAATATAAGTCTTAAATTTTGCGCTGCTAGAGGCATGTGACTATGCGCTCTTTCCTGCTATAAATAGACCGTTTACCCATAATACATTTTACACTTTACAAACAACACGATTACTCGGAAGTTTCTTATTTTCGTCATACAGGATGAGTCTAGATGCAGTCTCTAAAACTAGGACAAAAATAGACGACAGTAAAACACTTGTAGCTGCCGAAAGAGGCGCGCTGCACGAAAACTAATAAGTGATCAGTTTCAAGGTTGGAAAGGTCAGGTAGGGAAGAGTAAGACAGTTAGCCCAACGCAAAACCTAGCAAGAGATTTTCATTATTAAGGAGAGGAGAGACAGCATATGCTTTCGGATGGAGGTTTCTAATCGTATATATTTTGAGGTGAAGAAGATCAAAGCCTTGGAGACCACATAAGGAAAATAGCCGATGAATGTTGTGTATACCGATGACGAAAAGAATACACGGTATATGGAAAAGAACAACTCCGAAAAAAAACAGATGACCACACTTTCACAGCCAGCCAAGAAGAAGTGTAAGAGGAGGAAGTTGAAGAAACGACAAAGGTCAGGAACAAGAGGAGCAAGATGAAGAACAAGGACAAAGAATAATGAGGAAAATGACAGAGTAAGGAGAAAAGAACAACATTTGATGGTCAAGCTTCCTTACATCGCAGATGATATTACTTTCGAAATTATGCGAATCTCGATGCCGACGACGATATTTAACGAATTATATTAGTCGATAGCGTGCAGCGATGGATTTACAAATGGTGCTGATCAAACAATTGCAAACAGTTCTAATGATTCATAATGACGCCAGGCATTAACTAAAATGATTTGCAGGTGTGAATGAGGTAATTAAAATAATTGGGTTAATACGCCATATAGTCAATTCTATACCAAACGCGAACGCAGGGTGGCCAGGCCATTCCAGCGCATATTATAAACATAACATTATCCTAAAAATGAAAAAATTAAACAGTGATATTGACTAATGAGAAGTACTAATTAGCATATTATTGATTTTACCGCTTATTACTCAGACTGGTAACGAGTAAAACAGATATTACAATTTCAGAATATATCGCAATATACAAAACATCTAAAAAAGACTCACAATTCGTTCCAATGAGGTAAAATGTTAGTCCACTCGCGCACCGCCGCAGAGATTTGCTCTTCTTGTCTGAGCTGCCTTCGAGCCTCTCTTCTTTTCTGTTTCGCCTCTTTCGATTCCTTATTTTTCGCCTTTTGAACCATGATTTCGTACTCTCGACGATGCTTCAGTTCTTCTTCATACGACTTTGGTGGAAGGGCGCTACAAAGTATGAAAATAAGCGAGTTTTAACTTTAAATGCCAAAACTTTCTTTACAACAAAAGGTACTTCGAACGTGTTAAATGACTACAACAGCAAGTAGTGACCTCGCCTGATTATCGCTCGACTGGCAGAGGCAATTCAGAAAGAATGCCACGCTGATCGAAGCGCTAGTTTACTGACTAAAACGTTCTGTTTTTATGTGATTCTCTGGAGTCGACCACGCACCCTTTCATATGCAATTCACTAGTGCCAGCAAGTTTTGAATATTAGACTTTTCAGTCGCATTTTCGAGAACAAGAAAAATATGGCGAAAATCATTTGAAGCGAATAATGTCGCATTGCCAGTTAGCACCTGACCCGTTCAAGGGCCTTTAAACAGTCGGATCGGCAGAAC